ATCTCTGGAATCGGGTCATCTGAACGCGGGTACTCTGAGTACAATTGTTCAGGGTAGATGATTCATCTTGAACTAAATTCATGCATTCTTGGTTATCTTGTAGTTGCGCCCTTCGTTCTGGTCCTATACAGACTAACACACACATTTCAGGGGGGTTCTTAGGACCGTCGCGTACCGGATCCCCATCCGGCGGGCTTATTGGTTTAACTGCTGCGCCCCTGAAGCGTGATCCTTGGTCTACTACGAAATTGGGTTGGTAATTCACTTGCATTCCCTTGCTTCGCCAGTGTCATTACTGACTGGAAAGCCTTCCACTGGTCACACGATATTCCACCGTGAAAACCTCCACATTCTGCACAAGGGGTTCTGGTAGAGACTCTGGCCGGGTGTCCCTTAGCTTGGCATCCTTCACATATCATTCCCGTCCAGTAGTTGACTTCAGGGTGTCCCCACTTCCTGCACTTCTCACAGAAGACGTCCCAATTTTCTGGTCATGTTACGCCTTGACCCGGATGGGGGTTGTGTGACTTCCAGTGTTGGTTCTGTGGTAAAGTGCAATCGAAATCTCACGAGAAAAGCAACCTCGACTGCCAGATCGCGAGAAAGAGACGGCCCAGGTGACAGAAATCCCACTCTAGACCAAGACATCAAGTCGCTTCCCCAAGATCTGACGTGCGACAACATCGGTGAGTGATGGGGACTACGTATGACCCAAGATCGACTGCTGACGACCCAAGATCAACCCGACGGAACGATGGATGGCGACATATCCATATTGTATCATGGGAATGCCGGATCAAGGGGAAATCGTGGGTAGAAGCCGCTATCGACCGACGATCCTGAATTATAGTGGACCAACGGACCGAGATCGAGGGGGAACGGCTGCGTTCTGAGCACCGTCAATCGCCGATCAAGACACGCGGGGTGTACGCGATCCCAGATCAAGGCAAGATGTCGATCCAGGGCCCTGAGAAGGAGGCGGGATGGGATCGGCGGGAGGCAGCCGGCATTCGCCCCATGACGAGCAGCGGCGAAGGAGATCATCACACGACGGCGGCAAGAGATGGCTCAAGATCCCGGGGCGGCGTTCCCTATTGAGATCAAGACCCTTGGTTGAGATCATCGATCAAGGTCACAGATCGAAATCCGATCGAGGTCTGATCGAGCCCCGATCGAGGTTAGATCGAGGTCCGATCGCGATCGCCGATCGCCGATCCCAAGATAAGGTATGTATCCAGATGTCAGGTAATCGTAGGAAAGTAGATGGCGATGGGTTAGGAAACATAGGGATAAAAGTAAACAGACTCGAATTTGCTCTAAGCCACACAAGTGTCCGCCTTCGCCTGGAATGGGGGATTATTTTGGCCCTCAAGCGGGTAGACGGTAAGGACATAGGACCTAGCGTAGCGGTTAAGACTGGATAATATATTAGCCAGCTTTGCCCTACCTAGGGACTTGTTTTCAAGTGTTTATTGTTAATCGGAAGGCATTGATTGCTTGGCCTGACAATTGCATCGGATCTCGACCCAACAAGTTCCCCGCTATTGGAAGCAGCAAACATATCAAGGAATGAGCAAGATCTCCGTATTTGGACCACCTAAGGACCTGGATCGACAACCAGGCAGCTCGATCACGACTCACGGACTCGTCAGCGACCGAGATCAACCTAAACGAGGTAGAACGAAGAAGTTCTGCGCTATCTCAAGCCCCTGTGTTCTATCCATTCCGGTTATACATCGAACGAGTCACCCAGGAGAGCGTAGCCCGCCCGCCATCGAGTACACAAGGTGAACAAGAACACAACCAGATCACGGATCATCGGAGGACCCCCTTCGTTAGTCGGTATCCGGGCTCCAGTGATATCGGGAACCGCATCAACTAGATTTTCACGGATTCCGCTTCGCCACGATGGTGCGCGTGCCCGGATCTTCTGGTGACTCGGGATTTCACCGTGAGTCCCAAGAAGATGTCAAGATCAAGGAAGAATACAGGGAAGAAGTGCCCACGAATGCTGGATCGACGGAGGCATCGCTTAATACAGCAAGCTCCACCGATCAGGGAGTTTGGAGAGGATCTCGGCTGACAGACACGAGGCGGACCTGGATCAAGATCCAGATCTTGAAGAAAAGCCTCAAATTTCTCTCAAGGCCGCCGCGGCGGTCACCGCGGATCTCGATGAGAAACCAGATCCGTACATAACGGACAAGGACACGACCAAGTCGAAGTCCAATCTGTCCACCAAGTCGGCGGTCTCGACATGTTCGACCAAGAAGAAGAAGATCAAGGCCGCTCGGTCGAAGCTGAAGGCACCGGATTCGGGATCGGAAGCCGTGCATAAGTCCATATCAACTATCGCCACGGCCAAAGACTTGATCGAGCAGGCTTACTATCGGAAGATCCTGAGCAAGACTCTGCTACATGACCCTGTCCTCGCGATTATACAGGTCCGCCAGATCGGCGATCTGACAGGCCCGATATCCAAGCCCAACATCAGCACGGATAGGCTGAACGCGGTGAGGATCCTGCTGGATCTCCTCCAGGATGCTGGAGTAGTAGCGGGAGAATTCGATCCGGATGCTCTGTTCGAGATGGAACTGGGAGCGATCCAGGCAGCGACTCAAGATCTCTACGAATCGCTCAAGATCTTGGTCGGCGAACACGTCCAAACACCAGATTTGAACTATCAGACCGGGTCGTCACATTACGCGTCGGTTACCTCGGAACCGGACTCACATTCTCCCCGAGCCCCGCAACGTATGTCGCTAGTCCCATCGGGTGCGAAGTACATGAGGTCACGTGCGAGCAGACTGGATCAACGGCCGGCAGGACCAAGTCGAAGTCCGGAGAAGCCCGATCGACAGGAAGAACGCCTGATCCCAACAATACGAGTTACTCCGACGTGCAATTCGACCGGATATAGCAATAAGCTGGACGAATACTTCCAGATGGCGATGAATCGATTCCTGAAAGAACTAAGTCTGGTGGCGGCTCAACCTCCACTACTCGGGACGCAGGATATCGACATGGAATCAGTCGGCACCCCGGATCCCCACTCCTGGGAGTACGATCCCGACGATCTCGGGATTCCAAACTCCTTCGGTCATAATTCCGGCCGAGCCGCAGTTGCCTCGGCAGCGATCGGCTCTGGAGGGTCATCGCTGATCCCGAGGGTGCGAATTTCGGCCATCTCGGACCTGAAAGAATTTACTGGGAAGGATATGGACGAAGATCGCGCCATAGCTTGGATCGGCAAGGTGAAATCGGAGTTCCAGAGAGATCAAGCAACAGAAGAGGAGAAATGCCTCACGTTCGCGGATCTGATGGTGAGCCAAGCCAAGAACTGGCACCGACAGTTAAGTCGGACCACCAAGACCAAATGGGCGGATTTACTGGAAAGTTTCCAGACACAATACTGCGGTCTAGGTATGTCAGTGGCATGGCAATATTACCATGCCCGGAAAAGATCCGAAGAAACCCCGCTTGATTACCTTTACCGACTGAACGTGGCAGCTCTACGGGCTAAACTCAAGACCAAGGACGGAAACCCGAAGGCGCGTCGGGTACACGTCGATCATTACATCCAAACGTTAGGCGATCACGAACTGGCAGACCGCCTAACACTGTTACGATTGGCGGACGTCGACGAACTTGAGGAGCTTCTCCGTGCGTGGAAACGAGCCAAGAGCAGACAACGCTGATTCGCGTTCGGGTCGAAATTTCGACAGAAGGACCCGGCCAGCTCTCCGACAGCACCTGCTGGGGCCGCGGTACGCGCGATCCAAGCACATGATCCGATCTCCGAGTCAGATGGGGTTTCAGGATCTGACGGATCCGACTCGGAAGGTGACCTACGAAGGATCTTCCTCGCTGCGGCAGAAGAAAAGTTGACCAGTATTGGGGGCGCCTCACAGAACCTAGATCCAGCGCGATCTCGAACGAAGGCGTCTGAGGGAACCCGGATCGCGGATCGTCGCAGCCCGAGAGACAGAGATCACCAAGATCGAGAGCGTTGTTCCCATTGTGGGCCCACGGATCTAGATTGTTGGAAGCGTCTGACATGTGAAAAGTGTGGGAAAAGAGGTCACCCTACGGGTCGCTGTCTGTATGCGTGTCGTGGATGCGGGGACGTCCATGAAGCAGGAGAATGCCCCATGGAGGAATTCTACAATCAGATCCGCAAATGGTAAGATCCGACTCGACACGCCGGGCTGTTCCCCGAACAAGTCGAGAAAATGTTAAACTAGGACGCTCGTCGGGGTGGAAGCCGGTACGAGCCGAGCGTTCTAGATATTGCATCTACGTCTATGTGAACAAGGCGACAGCAGATCGAGGTAGGAAGGAGTCGGATCTACGTGGTAATACATGTATTTTGCATTCGTACACCGCCAAGATCGCCAGTCTTCCCCAGACCAGCGAATTCAGCAGATCTAATGCAGAAGGCGCCTTAGATCTCAAAAGAGGAGAATCCCGGGGTTATTGGAAACGTCATTCACCGGGGAAAATGTTCCGACAAGCCAATATCTCGGGAAGGATCAATCATGAGAGAGCGATCCTTCTCCTAGATACTGGCGCTGAAGTATCAATCTTGGATACCACCTTTGCGCGTACGGTGGGATGCAATTTGACACTAGTCAGAGACAGGAATGTGTGGGAATTGGTGATAATGTATATACTACGGAGGGAAGAACCAAGATCAATATCACTCTGGCGGGATATCTGGCGTACTTTTTCGACATCTGGATAGGAGATCTCTCAGGACAGAACGCGATCCTGGGCATGGATTTTATGGTCTCAGCCGGTGTACGGATGGACCTCGCCGACGGATCGATGCGACTACCTGACGAGGTTGTAAGAGACTTTATGACAAGAAGGTGAGATCAGTAATTCTCGAACGATCTCTACGAATCCCGGCCAGCCGGTCGGAAGAAACAGCGGCGAGGATAAAATTGTCGGCCACTGGAAAACTGTGGGTGACCAGAGGAAAACGATGGCTACCGATAGTGGCGGAAGGCCCCGGTCGGATCCGGTACCTGGTGATTTCGAACATTGGAGAAGAGATTCTACGGCTGGACCACCGTCTGGACGTTGGTATGATACTGGATCAGGACAAAGGGCCCCGATCCCCAGGGTTCGTGTCCGTCGGGTCCCGTCGCTACCGGGAATGACAGAATCTGGCACTGGAATCGACGGTGGACACTAGATCGGAGCCTCCAGAACTCATAGAGGGCATGGCGGAGTCTGCAGTGCAACGACCATCGTATCCCACGCCACGATCGATACTTCGCAGGGCAGAATCCCCTATTATCGACCGCGATCGAACGTTGATATCGACCCTAAAAACTCGTCCGAGGGCGAGAATGGCCAACGCAGCCCAGATCGAGGCAGAATTTCCGGTCCAGACGGGGAAGGTTCATCTACGCCAACGACTAGTCCCGATGTTGATCGATACCTGAGCGGCGATGCTGAGGGCGGTGGGATAAGTGAGAGCATGCCAGATCAGGACATCGAGCCAAAAAAAGGAAAATCTGAACTGTCAAACCCAGATCAAACTCGATCCCGGCGAAGCCTTCGATGCTCAATCCCCGATCCACCCGAACGAGGGCGTCGACCTATGAGATCCGCTGGCGGAAAGAGCAACAGCGACCACCCCACAGGATGCCGAGGATGGCGAGGAGATATATTACCACGCGAGTGGTGATCTCTCAGCGGAAGATCTCGAAGTAAACCTCGCTGTCCTCCCTGAGATCCCGATCTCGACTACCGCAAAGGTCAGCATCGAAGATCTGTTCGGCCACACACGAGGAGATCGAGAGGCTCTGACAGATCATTTGGAAGAAACGACACCTCCTGATCGAAAAGGGAACACCTTACCACCGGCGGCCAAGGGCGTCGTGTGTGACATCAATGTCCGAAATGCGAAACCGATCGCACTGCGAACCCGGAAAGTACCTATGCGATTTCGCGAAAACGTCGCGGGTCTGATCAAGGGCATCCTGGCAGCCGAGATCATCCGATCCTCGACGTCGCCATGGGCCTCACCGATCGTGATTATCGCAAGAGTAAATGTGTGGATATCAGACTATGTATCGACTACAAGCTTGTGAACAGTCTCACGAGGCTGATGGTTATCCTATGCCCCTGATCAGCGATCTGTTGGAGGATCTTGATAAGGCGTTATGGTATTGTTCACTGGATATGGCCAGCGGCTTCTGGGTCGTGCCCGTAACTGATCGGGCTCGCGAGATCTCAGCATTTATCACCCCGTTTGGACTATTCGAATGGAGTCGCAGGACGTTTGGCCTGAAAAATGCCCCACAGATTTATCAACGTCTCGTGGACAACGCGCTGTATGGATGTTTGAAGGTCTCACGATCCGGCGATGCTGGGGCTACAACGGACGTGTTCCAGACCGGGATCGCGGACGATCCTGATCGCGAGTCAGTGTTGGGACGGAGATCATACATAGATGATATCATGATCGCAGCAGAATCGTGGGATCAAATGTGCCGAAGGGCGGAAGATCTGTTGGAAGCTTGCGATAAGTGGAATTTGTCGATCAGTGTAGCTAAGAGGTTTTGGGGCATGGATAAGGTAGGGTATCTGGGACACCGAGTGTTGATCGGAGGTTTGAAGGCGAGCCCGAAAGACCTTAAATCTTTGACCTATCTGCTGTTCCCCGGATCACTTCGATCTATGCACTCGTTCCTGGGTAGTCTGAATTACTACAGCCGATTCATCGAAGATTACGCTATCTATGCTTCAGTGCTCTACGAATTACGTGAGGTGGAGTTTGCAGAACTGGAGAAACGATCGGATCTGACGGAGATAATGGACCGGAACGACCCGATTCCTCGGGATCACGGCCCACCGATACTGAAGTTGACGGTGCCAGTGGATGAGATGTGGATCAGGGCACAAAGGCCTTCATCACCCTGAAAACCGAGATCGCGACTACCCCAATCCTTCGCTATTTCGACGAGACGAGAACACCGGTAGTTATCGTATATGCCAGCGATTGGGCGATATCCGCCTCCTTGACGCAAGAACACGACGGGACCTATCATCCGGTGGCGTTTGCCAGTCGCACCTTAAAGACGAACGAGTTGAATTACAATGTGACTGAGAAGGAGGTGTTGCCATTGCTGAGGATCTTGGATTTTTATTACGATTTGCTAGTAGGACGCGAGATAACGAGGCATTCCACGTTGGCCTGGCTGTTCAAGTCGACGGGGTTGCAGGGTCGCCTAGGACAATGGTCCGCCCTCCTGGCCCCGTGGACGCTCGAGATCACGACATGCATGAAGGGCGAGGACAAAACACTGGGGTCGATCGCTGCCAGTATCACGCCGAGGGCGAAGATGGACGACGATGTGGCCGAAATCGCTCCCTGGAAGGAACCTAAACGCCGGATCCAAGCACCGATTCCGACCGTAGATCGAGAAGGGTAATTATGGGTGGTCAGTTTTGACGGATCCGCTCGAGTAAAGCGTGGCGGAGGCGCGTTCAGTGCGATCGTGTGGAGTTTGCCCGGATGGGAGGTGGTCAAAGCCAGGTCGGGCTATTTCGAGAGCCTCACCGTGAACGAAGCAGAATAAACGGCCTGATCCTAGTCGACATACTAGAGGACCTATATCACAAACGCCTAGTGGTCCGCGGTGATTCCAACTTAGTGATCCGACAAGTACGGGGCGAGATCGAGTGCAAATCCCCCGGACAGACGCTACTGAAGCGGAAGGCCCTAGATCACCTGAGGAAATGGAGAGATCACGAGCTAGTGCATGTCAAGAGAGACTGGAACGGAAGTGCCGACAGTCTAGCGAGTGCCGCTGTGTAACGACAAGGCGGGATTGAGGTCCAGAAGATGCCCGTGTACCAGGATCTGGTCATACTGAACCGGTTAGACGAGGTCTTGATCCCCAGAACCGAGAACCCGGTGGTGCGAGTTGCAGCGGTTACCACTCGAGCAGCTCGAGCAAGATCACCTGCGGGTGTCATGCAAGAGGGTCTGATCCGGGGGATGCAGGTCGATCGGATCAAGCAGGCCCCGAAGGAGGAAGTCTGGATGGCCGGCATGAAGAAGTATCTGAGTGGCTCGATCGCAGATCTAACACAAGCGGAAGCGAGATCGTACGGCAAGATCGTGGCCGATTACGAGGTGGACGAGCAGGATCTACTCTTTTACTGCCCTCCCACGCCGAGATTGGGGAATGACCGTGACCGATTGCTGAGACTGGTGGTTCCCGAAACGCTTCAATCGGACGTTTTACACCACTATCACACTACGTTGGAAGGAGGGCATCAGGGAGTGGGGTGTACCTACCAGCGGACCAGGGATCACTTCCACTGGAGAGGATTATATCGGAGTGTGCAGCGATATGTGGGGGAATGTGTAGATTGCGAAACATGGAAAGGAAAACCGGTGGTCCGAGGTGAGTCACCGGGGAACTTGCAGGCGACGTACCCATTCCAGATCATTGCGATGGATCACATACCGTCGCTACCCAGATCCCACATGAGAAACACTGAGTTATTGATCTGGGTCGATCTGTTCACAGGATATGTGATCGCGAAAGCCAGCTCGTCCCGATCGGCCCAGACGGTTGCGGAATCGTACGAAGAGTGTGTATTTCGGCGATTTGGTGCCAGTGAGATAGTTCGGCATGATCGAGAACCCGGCTTCACGTCCGATTTCTTCCGGGCGTTTAACAAGATCCTGGGACAACGGCAGCGGGCGACGATGGCATATCGGCCACAAGCCAACGGGACCGCTGAGAGAATGGTACAGACCGCGACCAGGGCGCTCAAGATGTACGTCCGCAAACTCGATCAGAAGAATTGAGACGAATATGCCGACACCTTACCTTCGCGATCAACACGGCTCACGATCGGATCCGAGGAGATACCCCTCAGTATCGGGTCCATGTGTGAAATCCAAGATCGACGCTGGAAGCCACACTGCCAGTCGGTTGCACTAGACGGCGCGATCGAGACGTCCAACGATACTATCAGCACTCCTGAGAACAGGCCAACGCTAGATTGAAGGAGGCCATTGCGGATCGGGCCGACCGACAAAATGAGGACGTTGGATCGCACCAGATCGAGGCCGCATATCGTGTCTGGTTATACCTGGATCGGATGAAGGAAGGGTACGCGCGGAAATCGGCTCATCTGTGGCATGGGCCGTTCCGAGTGGCCGAAAAGATCAACGAATTCAGCGTCAAGCTCGAGATCGCAGGTACCGGGTACCAGATCTTCCCAGTAGTTCACATGTCGAAGCTAAAATTGGTCAAGGATTTTCCGGATCGGCCGCAAGCAGAACTCACGGTGGATGAAGCCCCGATCGTCTAGATTTCGATGAGATCCTGCTCCCGGAGGACAGCTGGGTCCCAGATCTCGGGGCCGATGAGTACGAAGTCTAGCGGATCTCGGATACGTGGAGCAGGAAGAAGACGCGATTTGGTCGGATCTACCGAGAATCCCTGATGTACTGGGTAGGGTTTGACGAGCCGACCTGGGCGACGAAGCTGATCTCAACCGCGGGGCAATACTGAACGCATTCCTGCGAGAACGGGCTAATCGGAACCGCTTCAATGTGATGCAATCACATGAGGAGATGTAAGGAGGGCGGGGTGAGGTTACCTGATCGTCTCGACCCCGAGGGAATACCGGTCAGAGGAGACCGAGTTCGGGAATTCATGTTGTATATATGCATATCGACGCCGCCGCAAGAGGTCACGGAAGACATGAGACGTTGGAAGAGAGATCACTTGGGAATGGCGACGAAAAGAACAAACAAGCAGAAGATGTGGCTGAATTAGGAAATTACGAGATTGGCAAGGAAGAAATGCGGTCACGGGTAGTAAATTGGAGATAAACGGAGGTGGGCGAAGAGTGGAAGCTAGATCGGCGATCAAGGGGACGCCGGAGGATTGAACTTGTTCACGAGACGAGGGATATGCAGCGACGGATGAGCGGAACCGGGATCTCGGTAGTGATTCCTCCAGGGATCCGCTTGATCCCATTCAAACAGGGCCGTGATCAGGTCGGTCGGCTCGGGGAGATTCGCTGTCGGCTGCGTAAGATTGACCGCCCTGGAGACCGATCCGGGATACCAACGCACCCGATCCTGTTTTGTCGGCAGGTGGAGGAAATACGAATCCAGCAGGACGTCGATACCGGCCCACTGGGCTCTCATTATTAGCACAACTTCCCCCAACAGCTTCCGCCAACTTTCTCCAGCCCGGATCCGTCGCTGACGTCGATCTTGGTGGTAGGTGAAGAGATCTGAGTCCGCGGCGGCCATCACTTTCGTGATCTTGAGATAATGGGTCGATTCCCAATACGCAATCATGTGATCCTCCTCCAAGGCGGCATACAACACGGCGATCCGCTATAGAAGGGTGCCCGCTCGCCGATGTAGGTTGTGATCAAACGTCAGTGGAGTGGGGCGACGCTGTCCAAGTATGCGCCATGGCTCGGTAGCCATGAGAGCCAAAATGTTGGCACCAGTGATCAACTCCGAACGATAACCCGTCACGGGTATGGGCGCCCGGACAAGAACGCTTCGGAAGGCGAATAGGAAACCGGGCGGTATCGGCAACCGTTTGGACAAAGTAGCCGGAATCATAGCTATGATCGGCACGGTTCCCACGATGGTCGGGTCCCACGGAGTGATCTCGGCCGCCTCGAAGAGTTTGAGTGTGGAATATGGAGGAATACTCGCTTCGGTGGGAAATAGCGGCGGATTTAGCTGGATGGACGAACCACCCCCAGGAGAACCACCACCAGGCCTTCCGCCGAGAGATCTGAGAGGTGAGGGGGGAGACGTCGTGGAACCATGATCTGACGAAGGGGAGTCATGATCTCCTCCACAGTAGAGACAGTCGCTACACCATATACGCGTGCACGACGGACCAATGCGTTAGGGCACCACATATACCACGATTTCCCCGTGCAGGGCAGTTATCCAGTTTGGGACGATGAATGAGCCTACGCAATACTGCTAAAGCCACAACGTGCACTTCCCAGCTCTCTATCGCCGGCTGAAGAAGCGACAGTAGCACAAACTGAACATGACTCGCAAGCCGTACTACATCCCGTTGGGAGATGAACCAGGGTTAGTCCGTGTAAATCATACATGTGCTATCATGGGTGTCATCTGGACGTTTACCACGGAGCCCAAACACCGCTCGGAGCTCTAGAAGACGTCTCAATCTCAATTAGAACAGTCCGTGCGACGTCTGATCAGTATGTGCCCAGCTTGGCAATTTAATGTGATGTATCAAATGCGTAACATCAGTAGCACTGAAGGTGGTAACAACAACATGACATGCAGTGACGCTGCTGGTCCTGGTAAAAGTAGATTAACATTCATGATCAGTGGAAGTAACGGCGAGTCGGTGTCAAGGACGCCTTCACTGCCTTTATCTTATCGGCAATCGCAAACAATACACAAATTTCGGAGATTAATTCGATGAGGTGACCAGACAACGCTAACCTC